AGAAGCAGAAAGCAAAGAAAAAAATAATTGTAATATAAACTTTGCTTCAACACAGAAAAAAAAAAAAACAAAGGCACACTTGCAGAAGCAAAACTAAGCAAAGAAACAAATAATTGTAATATAAACTTGCTTCAATACTGAAAATAAAAAAAAGAAACAGAGGCACACTTGCAGAAGCAAAACCAAGCAAAGAAACAAATAATTGTACCATAAACTTGGTTCAATACAAAAAAAAAAAAAAAATAGAAATAGAGGCGTGCTTGCAGAAGCATAACCAAGCAAAGAAAAAAAATTGTAATATAAATTTGCTTCAATACAGAAAAAAAGAAAAGAAACAGAGGCGCACTTGCAGAAGCAAAACCAAGCAAAGAAAAAAAATTGTAATATAAACTTGCTTCAATACCAAAAAAAAAAAAATTACAACATGCTTTCGTGTCTTTCTATTTCTAATTCCAACTTTTTGTTTTGGTGTCCAAAAAAAAAAAAGAAAAAAGAAAAAAGGAAGAGACAGCACTGGCAGAAGTAGAACCAAGCCAAAATATATATATATAAAATGCTTAATCGCTGTCTAGTAAAATCAGTGCTTACTTGAAAGATTACCTGAAATTGGAGATGATATGGTGTACAGATTAGTGATCAATTGCAGTCCAATAACTCTAGTTACAGGAGGTGTGAAAGGGTAAGCTCTGTGAGAGTGGTCTTGCATTCTTCCTATGACTGATGGGGACTAAGAGGAGACCAAATGTTGAGCAAAGTGTAGAGGAGAGCCGAGAGGAGAGTTGGGAGGAGAAAAGTTAGAGAAGAGTTGAGAGGAGAGTTGGGAGGAGAAGAGTCGGAAGACCAGATGTGCGCGGGACAAGACCAGAGGCGATGAGGTTTTTTAGCTTTTAGGGTTTTCTTTCTTTAATTTATAAATAGAAAAGTTGGAAAGACATAATTAACCTTAAAAATTTTTAACTTAAACTTTAGTTATGGGGTTAACATGGTAATTTGATCAAAATAATCAAAGAAAATTACATAGCGGCTGCTATGCACGCTATCCGCTATTTGTATTGCGGCCGCTATTAGCGGTAATAGCAGCCGCTATTGAAAAAACGCTACGCTATGAAAATTTGTCATAGCGGCTGTAGCTGGCCGCTACGCTATGCCGCTATGGCCGCTATTGACAACACTGCTGAGAATAAAGATGACCAACAAGAAGGATTGGCACCATATTTCCAAGATGATGAGCCTCCTATTCCTCAACAAATAAATATTGATGACATTGCTTATGAACCTGTGCAATATTCTGATGGGAGGTTTATTGAAATACATGAAGAAGCTGATGTTGAGAAAGGGATTGGGGAAGAGGATGAAGAAGGAGAATGGGAAGATTTTGAGACATCAAAAGAAGAAAACATAGAAACATATGTTGAGGAGAATGATAGTACTGATGAGTAGGCAATAATATTGAAACTATTGAAACTTATTATTATATTTATGGTTACTACTTACTTGTTGGTACTTTTATAATTATATTAATTATATTATATGTTATTTATTTTAAAATTGTATAACGTCAATATTATTTTCAAGTTAATATTTGCTTATTTATACTTCTATACTTGTATTAGTTGGAATAAAATTTATACGTTTATTTTTTTATCATATTATTAATTTTATTTTATTTGTTAATATTTATATAATTTTTTTATTTATATTAGTTATACTGTATGTTATTTAATTAAAATATAATTTGACTATTATTTGTTTATCTATAGAAATTAAAACTATTTTTAATTTTTATTATGATATTAATAGTAATTTATTTATTGCATTTAAATTACATTGTATTAATGATTT